TCCAATGTAAAGACACAAGAGGAGTAATATAAAACCTTTTAAGAAATCTTTTCCATGAATTTTAATTTCACATGATAATTCTAGAGAACAAAAAGAGTTTGTATAGATGTACATAGAGAATAATGGCTTTATTCTTGGATTACCACTCTTAATTAATACACTTACATATAAAGTAAACTGTAACTAAACACATTTATTGGAGCACTGGCTATTTTTACTGGGGATTGTGAGCCAGTAAATATGGTCTATCAACACTCCTGGTTGCATTTGTCCACTTTTGGCCCAACAACCATGTTTTTATACATATATATATATATATATATATGGCTGATTCCAGCGTTATGGACGTGACATTTGCAGTAAAAAAATGAAACGTATATTCTCAGAGAAGGTATATGTTAACAGTATATTGAAATATATGTTTATATTTTTCTTACCCCTTAACCATGGAGTTCAGGCATCAAAAAAATATCAGTCTATGCAGGTGTTTTATATTTAAAATGACGGCAAAATGAATGCGTTACGGACGTGACAAAAAAAAGACATGAGTTTTGTGAGTTGACATACTTTGTGAAAATTCTGTGAATGAAAATGCAGAAGACAAAAAAATATATAACAGTCAAAAGGATAAGGGTTGGCTCTGCATGGGACATATATAATTAATTGTATTTAGTTTTTCATTTTTGCATTAATGAGGAAAAACTATCGTTACGGACGTGACTTGTCTTCGTTACGGACGTGACTGCTCTGAAATTGACAGTTGACACATTACGAAAATCAGATAAATGCTTTCAAAACTTGACCAAAGACCTATTTGTGGATATCTGTTGGCTGTGTAAACCAATAAACTTTAACCTCTGAGACATCTGAATGGTAAGGTTGCACAATTAATCAAACTTAAATAGATATCACCTTGTTATATTTAATTCATATTATGGCATGTGTGTTGTTAAAGGTTAACGCACGTTCGAATGTTCAAAACTCAATTCGGTAACAATGTTGCATGCTAACATGGTGCTTTTATACTCTGAATAATATAGAATTTATAATAAACATAATCAGCTATAATGGGCCTATGTTTAGCAGGCTCCTAAAGTTAGTGTTTCCAGACAAACTTGAATTAAATCATTGCCCGAGTTTTGCGCAAGACCGTGTCTACGTGAAGAATATTTAAAATCTAGTTTTGTCACAGATATGGCAATATTATATTTGACAAAGTTTATTTTAGTTTATTCTAGTTAATGTGTTAGTTGATGGAATAAATAATTTAATTTCTCCACTCGCGCTTGCTTTCTTTTTCTCGTCGGCAGTCACTTCAGGACAGGTTGCAAAAAGTTCATACGCACCAGGGTGAGAGAGAAAACTTTAAAACTTAAGAAAGGTTTTGTGTAGGCTATGTTAAACAAGCATAGAAAAATAGTCATTGGTTGTAGGCATGTACGATGGATGACTATAATGTTTATATTTTAGGCTATAGTTCATAACCGATTGTGTAAAATATTGAATTAAATATTTACAGCTGCAGGTCCTATCGATTTTCTAACAAATTTAATACTCATATAATGTAGTTAAAGCTTAGATCAATATCAAGATTTTATTCTTATTTTATTCTTATTCTTATTAAAATAATTTTAATAAGCACTCAAGCGCATTTGCCATTTTATTTAAAAAATTTAATTATGAAAACATTGACAGCAACACTCGCGCACAATAGACCAGCTGATTCAGTTGTTATCTATAGTGACATTCAAAAGAGCACCGTGCTCCTTTTCTTCTTGTCAACATAAAATGCATTGCGGAGCGCCTCACGTCTCTGGAATGAAGAAGCGCGTTCGTTGTGATCGGCTTTTATGAGCAACACATATTTGTTAACTCGCATGACAGTAACACGTGCAAACACACGTGCTTACAGATGTTTTTTTGCCAAAAAAGCAAAATGAAAGAAGGATTTTCTGGCCACAGTTTGACACAGGAGTTGACGAACCAGCGCTGATCCTGGTCGTCTGTGCTGCCTGGAGCCGCGTCATAAACTCAACTAGGCATATTCATGATTTAGTGCAGACTACTATCAACAAACCACCCTTTTTTCCATTTCGAAAATAACAGTTATTAATAGTTCTTATATACATTTTAAATAGCCTAATCTACAAATCAAACAAAGACAAATATTTTATAACTTCGCACCAAACTGATGCTTTCATTTTACAGCTTATAAAACATGTATGCAAATTAATGCAGTATCACATGTAAATAACAAAATTGTTATATGCTTAGCCTATACTTTACAAAATGTATAGGTTCAAAGCCTTATGGTTCATTGTCATTATATTTCACTATAGGCAGCGCGTGCGCACATGAACCGCAAGTAAGACGGAGGAAATAGGTCATTATGGCCAATTATGGCAATATGTAAAATGTTGTTTTCTTATTAAACATTTATTTCTGAAATGTTACTAAAGTGGTTTATAGTTAAATGAAATGTTCAGTTCTTGATATAACATATATGTTATGTAATGTAAGTCAGTAATTGTAATGCAGCATCATAATGAACAAATATGCGCTAGTCATTGGCTTAAATTAATAAGGAGTTCAAAAATGGTCACGTCCGTAACGCAAAATTGTGGTTGTTTAGAGCAAAGACCTGAGATGAGTTGGCGATCATAATTAGTATGGACATATTTTGGCTTTGTATACAAAGTTTCATTTTATTTGTTATAATATTTATTCCACAATATAAACTTTTTCATTAAATCGTTACGGACGTGACACGTGACCGAAGCTGCGTGATGTCTTAAATATGTAGCTCATAAATCAAAAGGGCAATAATGTTATGAAAAAGTAAGGATAATTATTTATACTACAGACTCCAATCCTTCTGCAGAATGATTACTGTTAACATAAAGCATGGAAAAGGTGAGTCTTTAACCCCTTTTTTGAAAGCACGAAAAGTGGTTGGATGATAATGAAAATTAGCATTGGCACAATCCTCATATTTCATGGATAAACAAAACAATTTCCTTAAAAATTCAACAAGAGCACATCATAACAATAAAATATAGACCTTAATAAGCAAATTGAAATAGGTTTTGTTATTTTGGTCAAAAGTTTATTTTTTCATGATAAGGTTGACATTTTCATGGAATTGGTCATATATATATATATATATATTTTTTTTTTTTTTTTTTTTAACCATTATGACAGTACATAATATTTCACTAGATATTTTTCAAGACACTTTTATACAGTCTAAGGTGACATTTAAAGCCTTAACTAGGTTAATTAGGTTAACTAGGCAGTTTAGGGTAATTAGGCAAGTTATTGTATAACAATGGTTTGTTCTGTAGGCTATAGAAAAATATATAGCTTAAAGGGGCTTATATTTTTGACCTATAAATGGGTTTTAAAAAATATTAAAAACTGCTTTTATTCTAGCCGAAATAACACAAATAAGACTTTCTCCAGAAGAAAAAATATTATCAGACATACTGTGAAAATTTCCTTGTTCCGTTAAACATCATTTTGGAAATATTTAAAAAAAGAAACAAATATTCAACCCCCCCTGATAATTCTGACTTAAGCTGTATATACTCTAAAAACTTGGAATCTGAACTAATGGTTTAGCAATAATTTAATAACAATGTATATAGTATTATTTATTTATTTATTTATCTAACCAGGTAAAAAAAAAAAAAAAAAAAAACATTATTAAGATCGACATCTCCTTTATAAAGTCCTCATTGTTTACACTTTTTGTCCTGGACAATTTGTCTTGGACTCTAGGTCCACATTTGCATACACTGAACAGAACCAGACATCTAATAACCCAAATCAACACAAACATTCAATCATTAACAAATATTACATATTTAAAAGTCTAATTGATGTAGGTAAAAAAGATTTCTTCAAAGGATTAAATCTGCACACAGGCAGCCTGTATCGTCGACAAGAAGGCAGTAAGTCACACTCACAAAACAAACTGTGCGAGGGGTCAGCGAATATTTTAAAAGCTTCATCCTGAACTGATTGCTCATAGAGAGATTGTAAGCACATTTCCCTTTCCTTTTGATTCTCATTGCTGTCTTCACCAGCCCTCCAAGCTTAACTTTAGATTGATCTGTAATGTTTCTGTACCACACAGAGAATCCATAGTGTATTATGTGTTCAATCACAGCTTTGTAAAATAAAAACATAACTTTTCTGGTCTCCAGCACATGACTTTGTGAAAAAATTAAAAATAAAAGATTATAATAATACAGTTTAGTCTTTCAGCAATGCATACTTACAACATGTTAAAACACAAGCACTGAGAAATTAATTGTTGTTGTTTGTTGTATACAATAGAGGAAAATAATAATTAAAATAACATATATCATAAACACCATAGTAAAGATGGTATTTTGAAGCTTCAAACGACCAAACTAAGAGGCTGATATTAGGTTACACTTGTGTCTACATACATTTCAATCTAAAAGATAAGATGTTTTACAAACAAGCACAAGAAATAGAACCGCCATCAACTTTAAAGTATATGTGAAGTGTTGACATCTGTCAACACAGGAAATGCTGACATGTACAGGTAACTTGTTGCCATTGAGGTAAAGCACATTCAGAGTTTCACCTTAATAATATCATTTTAGAAAAGAAATCTTTGCAAATATCTAAACAGCGAATCCATATTAGCAGCCACTGACTGTCAAAGTACAAATATGGTTGTTATGAAGTCACAACATGCGATTTTAGACCGAATATTCAAAGTAGCGTAATAAACACTATAGAGACCGTGTCACAAATTGTCACTGTTCATAAATGAACGAATGTGCGAATATAAAGTCAACTTTACCTCATTATTACATTAATAGTGATATGATGTGCTGTAGTAACCTGCACTTGCCTTACGGATGTCAGTTTACTTTACGTTTTCAGCCTTTTTATTTGATCCTTAACGCTTATAAAGCACTACAGGAGACTCGAAATCGTGTTAAAAGTAGATTTAGTCTTAC